GAAGCCGTGGAACGGACACGGAAGAAAGGGCTGAGGTTTCCGTTTCCACCTGGAACATCTTTAGAGAGCCATGCGCATCACAGGTGCAGGGACGGCCGTCTCTCACTCAGCTGTGATGGCTCAGTCACGCAGGAAGCCTTCTCAGAGCACTTGCCGCGTGCCAGTGAGGACACAAGGCCCCAGGATTCGACGAGGAGCCGGTGGAACAGCACAGTGCCTCAGCGGCACCAGCATGTTACACACGGGTTTTGCTGTAAAGCTTGGCGTCCACCATGCCAAGGAACATCTCTGTGGCCGGAAACAGAACAACATGCATGTTGACCAAGTTTTACACACCCACACACACGTATGTATGTACATGTGTTTATCATATATATGCTTAAGTACATACAAAGTACGTGCACCTATACACACACGCACGCCTACCCAAGTCTGGGTCAAGAAGAGGAGTGCACCGAGGAGGGCACCAAGGCACCGCGACACCGACGAGGGACTGGAGGTGACACGGGCTGACGATCCACGTCACGTCCCCAACTCCAGGAACCTTGCTTCTCTGCATTTTCATCGTTTCTACGGGATGTATCAACGAGGGCGTTTGGGTTAAAACGAACGGGCAACCGCTGCATTTCCTGAGCCTGAAGAAGTTTACTCGTTACAAGACACATGAGCGAGCTCTCCTCCCAGGTCCCCGGCATTCCGTACAGTCTTCAGGAATCAGAGCCTCTGGAAGCGCTTCTCCTGGAGGCCTGAACTGCCAGGCCCCCTCTACAGCCGGGCCGTCCTCCTCATGGCTCCTGGGCCACGTGCTCATCAACCAGCCCCTCAGGGCCTCGTCCACTGCTGCTTTCGCCGAGTGCCTTAGGAAGGCAGCACACCCTGCAGCGGTTATGGTTACTTGTCCGCATCTGCCTCCCCACCACGACGGCAGGAAGCCTTCCTACCGATCAGAAGTTGTCACAGAATCTAGCACTGCACGAAGAGCAACAGCTGCCAAGTCCAGGTCTGAAGTTCCCAAGTCAGCGGACAGGTGCCAGCTGCGTGCCTGCAGAGCAGGGATAACTGTGCTACCCCAGCCCACGAACACCTTCTGCCTCCTGGGAGTAGCTCAAACTTAGAAAACGGTAATGACTAACCCTTACTGCGGGCAGAGGCGGTTCAGCAGTAGCCTCCTCGCCTTCTATGCAGCAGATCCAGGCTCCATTCCCAGCCAATGCACCTCAGACACAACCATCGCCCGTCTGTCAGTGGAGGCGTGTGCGTTGCTATGATGCTGGACAGGTTTCAACAGTGTTTCCAGACTAAGATGGACTAGGAAGAAAGGCCTGGAGATCTACTTCTGAAAATCAGCCAGTGAAAACCCTACGGATCACAACAGTTCAATCTACAACTGATCACGGGGATGGCACAGGACCAGGTAGCTTTTCCTTTCCGTTGTGCGTGGGGTCCGCCATGAGTCGGGGGCTGAATTGACAACAGATCACAACAACCTCCTCTGAACGCTGAGCTCACTGCAGACACTGCCGGAAGCTTTCATATGCATGACCTCACTGGGTGGTCCCACGACCGGCCAGAGGTAAGGAATATGACACGACACGCACGCCCCACCCAAGCCAGAAACCAAAACTGCTGCTGCCATCGATCCCGACTCGCGGCGACCCTAGAGGAAGGGGCAGAACTACCCCACAGGGTTTCCGAGACTGTAAAGCTTTACAGAAGCAGACTGCCACATCCTTCTCCTGAACTCAGCGACTGGTGGGTTCGAACCTCTGACCTTTTAATTAGCAGATGAGTGCTTTAACCACCACGCAACCAGGGCTCCGGCATTTCCTAAAAGTACCAAAATATCAGCGCATGGCCCAGGTCGCTCACCAGGAGAGCAGAGCTGTGGTGGGAATCCAGGTCTATGTGTTACAGAGACTGTGTTCCTGGCCACCATGTCTGCCTCCCCAGTGCTCTGTAAGATGAAGACTCAGCTCAGAGAGCTGGACATTCAGAACGCCCTCTCCTGCCGGCTCAGGGTCTCCCACCAAACCACTGATGTCCGCTGGCCCGTGTCCTCTGCAGTGAGCTGAGTCCTCTCAACCACCGCCCGCTCGGAAAGCACCTCCTCACAGCCAGAATCTGCCTCCCGACCCACTGCCCCAGCTGTGCCTTCTGGAGACACGCGGCGTAAGCCAGCCCTCCTTCACGTGACGGTTCTTCAAATCCCTGACGACAGGGATCACGTCCCCGCTGGGCCTCCCCCCTCCAGCCCAGCACACTCAGGATCAGCACCGCAGCTTCATTTAAATAACAGACTTGGCAGTGTGTTTACAATCCAACTCCAGTTACTGAAATTCAATTTACACACAGAATTCCAGGAATACATTACATAAGGTGCTGCTGATTAAAAGAGCAGGGTGACCCTTAATGAGGTTACCGGATTCCACTCTATACCTACCTGCAATTGACATTTAAACATAAGCGAGCCAAACTCTTGGGTCAGGTTATCAGCTACACCCTGCTTAATACATTCATTCTGAGATCAATGATATATAAACATAACACAGCGTATTGTATAAAGAGCTGCTCACCGTAGCCATGGTTCAAGTCCACACTTTAAGATCTGGGCTCTCTGAAACTCACCTCGCAAACCAACCACACTGATTCCCTGTTTTCCTTACAGCCAGTCCCATTTTAGTTCTGAGCTCGAGTCACTGGATTATTTTCTTCTTTCTTTCATTCCAGCATGTACATATATTTACCACCAAAAAATAAAGTGATGATTTATGAAAAATTGATTTCCCTTAGGTTTAAGTGAAGGTTTAATATAGCACAACCCTGTAATTCTGGATTGGGAACCCGGGAATACTTCTAATATCTTAGCCCATTCTCTCTCTCCAAAATAAATAAATAAGTACATCTTCTAGGGAGTCTATTCTAGAAACTTCTGAGGGGAAATCACCTATCAACTGCCAGTCTGCACGAAAAATTGGGAGGGTTTCGAGGCTGGTGAAGTCTAATTGCTAACTGTTGATACAAATAACGCATAGAGCTGAGGAAACAGAAGTAGAATCTGGCTTGTTTCCAATGACTAGCCTCAACAGCCTCTTATCCAAAAGCATTAGGAAGAAAGTAAACTTTAAAATGATTTGAGAGAAAGGTCTATTTTCATGACAGATGGCAGTGAGGGTTCTTCAATGCCAATTTAATCACTTTTCCTCAGTTTTCAAATGCTTAAGTTGTAGCTCCAAGTGTTTGTGCAGGCAGCACTGTCTGCTGAATCGTACCAGGGCAGAGAGGATGACTAATCCACGCTGTGGTCTCACCAACTTCAAGGAGTCATCTTAGGGCAATGCCACCCGTTAGAAAAGTCCTACTTTGTCTCGCTTACTTTGGACGTGTTATCAGGACGGACCAGTCCCTGGAGAAGGACATCATGCTTGGTTAACTGAGGGTCAGCAAAATAGAGGAAGACTCTCAATGAGATGGACTGACACAGTAGCTGCAGCAATGGGCTCAAGCCTAACAACAATTATGAGGATGGTGCAGGACTGGGCGGTGTTTTGTTCTGTTGTACATGGGGTCGCTATGAGTTGGAACCGACTTGACGGCACCTCACAACCGTTAAATAGATACTCCATCTTCTCACATCAAAGAAGTCCTGTTCTTACGGGCACCAATCTCACGTCACAAACACACAGGCTGCCGTCAACGCGACGGGAAGCGTAACCTGTCCAATCACTTTTGGGCCAACAACCTTAACAGACAGCCCCCGCTGACTGAGCATTAGTTGTCAGAGTAACAGTGTCTGGATTTCTAAGCAGGGATTTTTGATTACACCACCCTTTCATCTTAAGAGTAAATGAAGGAATGGAGGCTCACAGGATGGACATTACAGCCCTCCTTAACGATGGAACTCGGCCTAGGATGGAGGAGTTCTGACTCCCAGTCCAGCGCTCCTTCAACTCCACCTGAACGTGAATCTTTCCAGTGAGTATTTTGGAAACAACTCGATCCCATGGTGCTATTTTACATTTGGACTGTATATACTTTTTCCAGCTACGTTTTTAATTTACGCTTGGAAACTTTTAATCCAATGAGAAAACAAATCTACAGACAGATTATGTAGTCACGAAAATTCTGGTCTCTGGGGCTTCTGTACCAGAGTAGACAACTCCTCAAGTACCATGGTGTTCTTGCCTTCTGGAAATTGGTGTGTGAGCTTTACCGACTATTTAATCTTTGGTGAAGTATCTCAGGTATAAGGTGACAGGAGAGCCAGCAATCATGTGCATCCTCTTATTAACAAGCTCAAATGGCACATACATCAGTCACGTGGGAAAGACACAGGCCGTCTTACGGCCAGTAAAGGTTGCAAACCGCAGAAGGACAAAGCTTGCCAGCAGTGTTCGGTGCAGCATGTCAGCTTACCCTGCTGGGTGCTCAGGCCACGCCTTACACCGATGTTACCCCAAAGCCTTGGAGAGGCTCAGGCAGAGCTGAGTCTTCTCCAAAGAGAAACCCAGGACATTCCTAAGATTCCCTGCTGCGCAGCACTGTCTATCAGAACTAGTGGGCAAAGTGACACACATTTTTCAAAATAAGTGATTTACCGCACAGGACACAAGCGACACCGTGTCTGGAGTAGGGAACACTGGCGATCACTAACCCGAATCGGTGGCTTTCTGGCGACACTGTCCCAAGCCTTTCACTTCCCCCCAAACCCAACTGCCCCCCTGCCTGTGTGCCTGCCACCACTCTGTCCCACAGGTGCGCCCCTGGGCCTGTGGGTGGTGAGGGGCTGACAAAGTTCTCACTCAGGGCACCGGCTCCCACCCCACCCCCCCCGCCCCAGCAGTGAGGACGGCGCTTGGCATCACGTCAAGGTTCGAATCCTGCTCAGGGAATACGAAGATGGTCTGCGAAAAGCTCCATTCAAAGGGCCTGTCCCACGCCAAAGAAAAGGAATAGACAAAAATATTAATCACGTTTTCCTTTTAATAAGGTTTTTAGTCAAAAGTGTAGCTTTGAAAATCTCTAGCTTGTTGTGAAAACCAGAAAAGCAGGAGCTGCCTCACTGAGGACAGGGCCTCGGCAAGCTGTGGCCACCTGCTGGCTTTCTAATCTCCGTCACCAACGCTGGGAGCCAAACGCACCACTTTAAAATCAGAGACCAGGCTGAGAATCGGGCGAGGGGGATGCAGTGCCCTGGTTTGATTCAAGGAGAAAGGACGAGTTCGTCATACAGTGAAACAAGACACAAAAAGGGCACAGATCTTTAGAAATCACTAGGTATATATATATGTGTGTATATATATATTTTATATAATTAGGATTATCATCAACATTTAAAACTATTAAAAATAAGGTTGCCACCTTACCTTTTCTTTTGGTACGGGGGTGTTATTTTTCAAGGGAAAAAAAAGAGAGAGACAGATTTTGCCGAGAATCTAAAGCGTCCTGACCTCGGTCCCGTTTTCTGCTGTGCCAATCCCCGCCTGCAAGCCAGACACCCAGAGTCCCACCGCCGGCGGGCAGGCGGCAGAGCGAGGGACGGCTCTGGTCATTGGGACGACAGGCGGCTGGAGAAACTGAACTCTTCCCCAGGAAGAAGACACACTCCCCCACAGCAGGTCTGCAGAATCTTCCAAAGGCACCTCTCCCCTTGTCGTGGCTGTCCCACTTGTTTCTGTCGCCTAGAAGCAAGATGGCAATCTTAATCGAAAAGGGAAGCTAGATTTTTTAAATAACTTAAAAAAATTATTTTTTATATAAAGCAGCAAAAACATATTTTCCTCTCTGCAGAAAGAAAAACGTCAACAAGGAAACACAGCGATGTGCGTGGACTGTGCGTCAGCTTCTGCTGAACCGAATTTCCCAACAGGTGGTGCGTGGCCTCTGCGCTACTCTTTCGCCTCCTCGATGCTCTCTGAAGGAGATTCTTTGGCATCGTCAACCCCTCGGGGACTTTCTTCTTGATTCAAGTTTCCGTTTTCTGACCTGGTCCCATTGGGGACAGAGTTCACACCGTTGATGAGCCTGTGTTCAGCCACCTTTGCTCTGCCGACGGCCTCTTTGAGTTTGAAGGCCTCCTGCTCGCCGCCCTCCTCCTCCAGGTTCCTCAGGACGAGAGGGAGCCGCGAGTCGGCCACGCTGCTCTCCAGCAGCCCCAGCGCGCTCTCCTCGTACTTGGGCAGCGGGGCCCGCTCCTCCAGCTGTCTGCGGTAGTACTCGCGGTTCACGGCCGCGCTCTTCACTGCCTTCTCCAAGATCTCCTTCTCGCCCAGGCGCAACTTGATAGCCATCACCGCCCGGCGGGAAAGGTCACGGCCTTTCAGGAAGGCCTTGTCTTCCTGGAAAATAAACATGAGGAAAAGTCATGATAACAAGTGTCAATCAGCAAAACTAGACTGGCGGGAGGCGGATCCATTGTTGCTGGGGTGGGGGTGCAAGGGAACTTTTGGGGGTGAGGGGCACATTGTAAAACTCGGTCACCTGACTACATACTCCCGTCAAACTGTTACAAAATGCACACAAAGCGGAAAAAGAAGCCTGACTCAAACGGGGATGCCGCACGTCTGACAGAGAACTCGCCTGCGTTTGAAACCGTTCAGTCTGGTGGGCACGGATGCAGCCCAGGGCTCCGCACCTGGACGGGTGGATGGATGGACGGGTGGGCGGGTGGACGGGTGGACGGGTGGATGGGTGCATGGGTGGGTGGACAGATGGACGGATGGACGGGTGAGTGGGTGGATGGACGGGTGGGTGGATGGACGGATGGGTGGATGGGTGGATGGGTGGGTGGATGGACGGATGGACGGATGGACGGGTGAGTGGGTGGATGGACGGGTGGGTGGATGGACGGATGGGTGGATGGGTGGAT